ACCGCTTGGGGAGGGGGACGGGGACGGGGACGCGGCCGGGGGGGGGGGGGGAGGAGGGGGTGAAGGGGGGCAGGGGTTGGAGATGGAGCGCGACTATGCCATGAACGGCACAGGCACAATGCCTTCCTTCTGTTTCTGCTCCGTCTTGGGTGGGCTCCGGCGCTTGGTTGAACCGGTGCTGGCAGCCTGGAAGACCTTGACGCTGTTGATCAGCCAGTAGGCATCAACGAATGCGGCGGTGTTCTGCTTGACGTAGGCGTCGCACGTGCTCGCAAGAGGCGCGCAGGTAGAGTCCTGATCCCACACCTTGCCGGCCCAGTCGCCGCAGAAGGTCGTGTCAAAGACGATCTGCTGTGCCGAGAAGTAATGGTCAATGTCGCAGCCGGTGAACGTGGCCATAGGCGTGCCAAAAGTGGACGTGTCGGGGGTGGCATCCGAGACGATGCTAGCAGCCTGTGCGGTGTTCCGCGCAAAGAACCACACAGAGATGGCCTGTGACGTGAGCTCCATGACGTAGACGCCACCACCGTTCGCGTTGAAGGCAGGGCCGTAGGCATTGGTGTTTGTTGTGGAGAGCGAGCAACCCGCAAAGCCACCGTCAGCACCGCAGTCGACTGTAGAGGCGCCGTTACTGAATTTGGTGCCAGAGGAGGAACCAGAGCTGGTCATGGTGCAACCCGGGGCGGTGTGCAATGTGATGGCGTCCGTAGACTGACTGTTAACACCCTCAATGATGTCAATCTCACCGCCACCGGGCCAGTTCGGGCCCAGTGTCCAGAAGGCAGGCCAGACGCCGCAGCCGACGGGCATGTGCTGGATGTCGGCAATAAAGAGACCCTTCTCGTAGCCCTTGTTGCTGGTGATGCGGGTAGAAGGACGGCCGGACGCCGGGTTCGCCGTGTTGTGGTCGGCGCCCAGGTAGACCATGTTGTTGACGTAGCCAGCAAGGCCACTTTGGCTGGCTGTTTGGGCGTCGACGTACTCCACGAAACCGTGGGTAGGGTCTGGGGCGTCGAAGAATTCAAAGCCAGTGAAGAAATTTGTGTTGTTGTAGTTGTCCACTAGAGAATAGGAAGCGGCCTGGGCGGTGGCAGCCAGCAGGGTAGAAGCAAGAGCGACGCGAGCAACAGACTTCATTTTGAAATTTGTGTTGGGCTGCCGGTAATGTGTGGTGTGTTGTTTGGTGTATGAATAAAAATGCACGAAAGCTCAGAGGCTCTACTGAGACCGAAAGTGTCCAGCACAATGGGTCATGAAATTTGATGTCGAGTGCTTGTTGTATTGCACGGGAGAGAATGCACAGGAGTGAGTGACTGACTCTTTGCTGATGGGTGTTGGTGTTGATGTTGCTGATGATATAGCAAACTGCCGAGAGTTTATTGACTGAGCAAAGGAAAAATGCAAAGGATGGTTTGAATGATGAACATGAAAAGAAAGACAAGGAGGGTGGCCTGTCTTTATAGCATCATGGATGTCTCGAGAAATTTCTAAAAACGGACAATGAATGTGAACACAAAGCACAAAAAGAGGGAGGCCAGACGTGCCAGACGATGCTGTCCTTTTTTGCTTGCGTTGATTGTGTACGGTGAACAGCTTTCACCTTTGTGAAGAAACAAGGGATTGGTGCCAGCCACGGAATGAATGTGAACAAAGTGTAGGGCAAAGGAGTGTAAAGTGACGAAAAGAGACCCGAACAAGCGAAATCAGATACCAAGCTCGTGTTTTCTTACGACTGCATTTCCAGAGATGGCTGAACTTGAACGGAAACGGATCGACGATCTTTTAAAAAGGCAAGACGAAAAATCGACTCAAAACGTAGCGAAAGTACAACGTAGAGACACAATAGCTAGGCTGGGCCACCAAGTATTGAGACACCGGGAGGCCCCGCAGATCAGGCTCAAGTGATAGGGCAAGCAGCACGCGTTGAGAGGACGTGCAAGAAGCAAAAGATCCAGACGGCTTTGCGTAGGCCGCCAGCCGGGCATCGGAATGTTGACGTCCCTCAATAGGTTGAGCCAAGTGTCTCACTTGAAGGACAAGTGGGCTCCAAAAACCGCACTAGCAGGCCAGACCGTGTAATTTGGGACTTTTGGTGCGCATTTTTGCGCCTGCACACAAGGACAAGACGCTCGCGCGATACGCCCAGAGGGCCCTGAATAGCAAACGTGGAAGTCCCATTGTTGATCTTGGTCTTGTAGAGATGCGGCTGCCGATCGGTGACGGTTGACGAAGAGGAGTCGCTTCCGGAGGTGTTCAGGGGTTAGCGTGGCTCGTGACCGCCCACCGAATCCAGAACGAATACAGGAACAGGGTCTTGCAGGCTCAAGGGTCTTTGTTGTTGTTCGGAAGATCTCAGGGCGCATACGAGTTTTGGGTCTAAGTCGTCGAGAGCGAGTCAAAGGCAGGGGCCGCTTCCGCCCAAAACGGGCCAGCAATTTTGAGCCCAGGATGGCCAGCCCCGGCTCCCAGAATATTCAATAAGCTGGTCTGTATTGGCGAAACCATAAAGACCAGCGACCAGGAGCGTGACAAACGCGTGGCCAGCCCTTGTTCTTGGGGAACAAAGCAAGGGGCGAGAGTGGCTGCCCACGCAAGAGAGATAAAACGACCATTGACTGATGGTGTTGGTCGTTGTAGTCACGCCTTTTTGTTGGAACAACAAAGACATCCAGGGAGAGGGTCTCCAGGGGCAGATGGAAAGGGCAACGCCGATGAGAGACAAGTTAAGGCAAATAGCAGAACAAAGCAAAAAGTCGAGAGAGCACAGAAGAGGTAGGAGGTAGGAGGAATGCGGGACAGTTGCGCATGCATTCCAACGGTTGCCAGCTCCTTGAAAAGACTCGTCCAACGGATGGATCTGTGGCCACAGGTGCTGGCTGAACGGGCGCTTGTGAAGCGACTGTACTAGCGCGCATTCCAGAAGCTGGCCGAGCCAGGCTTGGCTGCCTGTGGCGGTGGGCGTTGGTTCTTGGCGATTTTGGCGAACAACTGCATGAGAAAGTGAGACGACGGAGACGAGAGACGAGAGACTTGAGAGTTGAAGGATCGAACTTCAAAAGGATCGACTGAAAAAAAGGGGGGGGGGGGGGTGTTTGTTGCACTCGGCAAGGATTGGGCAGGAGCCGCTGGATGAAGAAACAACGACCTGGTTTCGAACCAGGCCTGGTCTGCAGGATTTACGGAAGGAGCCACCAAGCGTTTGCTTGGCAGTCACTGGTCGTGTTAGTGCTAGCCTATTTGCCTGTTTCGGAAGCAGGCCTATATCTACGGAGCACACTCAGAAGGAAAGTGGCCGCCGACCACGAAACAAAAGAGGATTTGAGAAAGAATACAAAAATGCATTCAGTTTTTCTTATTCGGCCCCCACCAAGAAAAAATCCGTACAATGAACGGCAGCCTCTCCAAGCGCATCATTCCTCATTGCGGAAGCCCACGTCTTTGCCCAGCGCGGCTCCAAGACATTTTAGCACTAGCGACATTCCAGTCCGATTGGGATAGTTTCTTCTCTCATTTGTTTCCTCTCAACCTTTTCTTTTTGTTATCCAAATTGCCGGATCAAGACAATGGGGCCCGCTTGAACCGAGAGACAGCTGGACCTGATCGTCGCGATGTCGATCCTAGGGTCCAAAAGTCCAGAACTTTGCGATCGAGACGTGCAAAGCACAGTGAAAACCGCTGTTTTGGGAGAGACCGTGGTCAGCTCCGTCTCTCCTGCGGGATCGACATGACCCGACGCCCGCCGCGGAAGACGACCCTGGAACGGTCGAGGGTCAGGCAGGGTATGGGAGACGGGAAGAATGAAACATGCGGATGCGGCTGCGGATGTGGACGATCAGAGCCGTTGGTGTTGCTTCTTCCATGCCGTTTGCCGGCAGTTGAAAGCGAGAGACAAGCCACACACACTGCCCACCCCACCGCTTAGGGACCTGCGACCCTCACAAAGCTGGCGACCGAGGTCTGGCCAGCCAGTCGAGAACGGTCCAATCGTGGTGCCCGATCGTGGCGTGGCAGACACTGGGAGATGGCTGGTGGGTTTCGCAAGCTGACGTGTTCTGTCCACTGCCAACGGACGTGGCTCATTGCCAGCTTCGGCTCAGAAGCCGCTCGTCCGCCTGCCGCTGCTTGTCGTCCTTCGCAATGGCTAGGACCAGCTCCCCGAACAAGCCATTCGCCCAACCGAACCACGGCCGCGTCCAGACATGAGGCGCCCATGTGTCGATGCTTTCGTGCATAACACCGGTGCCAAATGTCGAGTTGAGCAGCATGTTAAGCTGGAGAGCGACAATCGTGTCGCGGCTGCTGCGATCGCCACCATCAACATCGTGGATGTATGTGGTCAGGGCCGTCACGATCGAAGCCATAGGCCATGCTCGTCCGGGGCCCAAGTGCGGGCCGCCCACAGCTGCAAATCCGCTTTTTTCGCCCCAGGCAAAGTAGGGATTGGCCGGACTCAGAGCAAAGCGGCGGGTGTTTGCATAGATCTGTGCATACTCGTGATGCTGCTTGGCATTGTCAACGCCAACATCATCGCTACCACTGACACTTCTCCTGTCAACGCCACTGCCTTCTTGTTGTAGGGGGGTGTCGAGGAAGCCGAGAAGAGGGATCGACAGCAGTGACGGAATGTTCGCGTCGTCCATGAGATTGACACTGCCGTAGCCGTCCACCTCGTACGCAAAAATGTCGCCAAATGTGCGGTGCCGGACGACCGCATCCTGTGCGATACCGCTGCGAACGCCTTGCGCGAACTGGCGCATCACGAGCGTCAGGTTCTCGGCTTTGCCCTGCTTGGTGAAGCCGGAGCTTGACGGCAGAGCGGCCAGTTGCTGCATGATGGCTGATGCGCGTTCCAGTGACGAGGCCCACATCATGTTGGCCGGCACCAGGAACTGGAAGATGGTGGCGTCGTCGGACGGCCGGAACGACGTGCGCACCATCCCGTTGGAGACACTCGGGTTGCCGAGGCCGTTGTTGGTGAGTGTCTCCGAGCCGCGGTCGGTCCAACCCGTGAACGTGTACGCGGAGCTGAGGGCGTGGCCCTCGGCGTCGTACGTGCCCTCGCGCATGGCGCCCGCCGCGTCGACGGCGGCCGTGACCGCGTCGATCCAGTTGTAGCGACCAAAGAAGGCAAGGTCAGCCGTCTTTTCAAAGTATGTCGCCGAGATCTGTAAGAAATAGGCGAGCGAGTCGAGCTCCCATTTGCAGTCAAAGACGAGCGTGCGGTCGTACGGAGGGTACGGGTGGTTGTGTGAGTAGGCGGCATTTCGCGTGGGCCGGATGCCGGACTCCCGCGGCGGCTGGAAACTGTGGCAGTAGGGCGAGATCAGGACGTGGCGGGCCTGCATGTTGACAAGGCCACGCCAGAGCCGAGCCAGTGTCGGCGTGTTTTCGCTTCCACTGCCACTGTCGTCGGCGACGAGGAGACTGCTGTACGACATCAGCTGGGCTGCTGAATCGCGTAGCCACATGGCGTCTATGTCGCCGGTGATGATGTACGTGAGCTCCTCGTCTGTCATCGTGTCTTCTTGCGTGTCTGGGTCCGTAACGTTGGCGTAGCCGTACCACTTGATCATGGTATCGAGTGTGTTGGGGAAGGCGTTCTCAAACAGGCGGAACAAATCCGGGTCGTGGATGGTCGTCCGCATCTCGTCGATGAGCGCCTCCAGAGACGACAGGTTGAAGGTCCGGCATGCCGGCGGAGGACGCACATACGGGAGCTGGTACTTTCCTTTCGACAGTGGTTGTGGCTTGTTGTAGAGTCGCGCCTCGAACTTCATGCAGCCGCCTGGGAATCGGCTGTCATCGGACGGGTAGGACGGCTCGACAATAGGAGTCACCGTGCTGCTGTCAGCGCTATCGCCGGTGAGAATGGAGGTGCTGTTGGCCGTGCTCTCGATAGAACGGAGGGAGGCCAAGTCCTCGCCGCGGTAGTAAAGGGCAGTATAACATAGAACGGTCGTGATTAAAAGGGCGCCGATTCGGGGGACGACGCGCCTACGCCACCGTGGATTATGCCATCGTGATGAGAGCCAGCTCTTAAAGCCAGGCTTTGAATCTTTCCATGGTCCACGATGTGCCGAGGCGGAGTCAAACATTGCGCAGAATGGTGTGCAAGTACGTGTCGTTGAGGCTCAGGGCTGCGCGGAGAAAAACCAATAAGGATGTTCAGAAGTGAATATCCATCGCGAAAGGCATAACATGCGAAAACGGAAGATGAAGTGAGAGACGATGCTGAAGCAAAAGACAAGCTTTGGGAAAGTCGGGGGTCCTTTGAAGGTCATTTACCCCCCACAGGGGAAGAGCAAATGAGAAGCAGGTGGCTGGCCATCTTTGGGAAGCTGAAGTGAAGAACAACGATCGTGTGCCCCGTATACTCCGTAAAAAGGGCGGAGATGCGCCTCCCTGGCCTGCTACTTTCGTACAGCCAAGACAGATAAATGCAGGGAAAGGCGGGACATCCGCGGAAACGGGCAGTACGACAAAAGTAGGGCGCCACAGGGCATCTGGCGTGAATTTCGTATGGTCTAGTGAAAGCTGTGCTGACTGCGTGAAATAGGGGAAACTAATCTCGTTGCTTTTGATCTCACTTTTGCAGATAAAAAAAAGCAATCAAGAGCTCTGTCCATAGCTTTCCGTTTCGAAAACGACTGTTAAAATGTAAAATCCGGGGAAGAAGCTATCCAGAGCGGGCGAACCCAGCAACTGAAGCTTTTGCGGCCTGACCTCTCCGGGTTACCTTTCTTGGTCGAAGACAAGCCTGACGGCCTCCTGATTTGCTGCCGCAGTGAAGGAAAGGGTGTCCTCATCTGCTCGGGAAATAAAAGGCGAGAGATGCTTCTGTCGTACAATGCGGGTCCTTGTTTATGCTACTTTTCCGTTTGTCAGCCAGAAACAAAGGCACAGCTCATAATATCTCGGTAAACACGAAAAGCCTAGTTAATTCGTATGCTTCGTTTGTCTACTGCGCCTCCTTTCATGTCGTTTCTAAACGCCCCTAATTGATCTACAACGTCTCTCAAGGAAGCGTTCGCCGGTAAAAGACGGTCTCCTGGATGGGCGTCTCGTAGTAGGCCGTCGTCTCGGAAAAGCCCAGCTTTGTGTACAGCCGCCGCGCCGCCGCCATGGACTGCAGCGTATCCATGACCACCTCACCGTACCCGCGGGACACCGCCTCCGCCAAGGCGCGCCGTGCCAATGCTTCGCCAAGACCGGTGCCGCGTGCATCGGATCGGACGTACAGGCGTTTGAGCTCACAGCGCGGGCTGTTTTTGGGTTCACCCGCGGGCAGCGGCCGGAGGGCGACACAGCCAATGGGCTTGGCGCCCGGTGCAGTGCTCCGCGCAATCAGGAGCGTGCCGTGCGGCGAGGCATACTTTCCCGGCAGACCGGCAAGTTCTTCGGCAAACGACTGGTAGGCGAGGTCGATACCGAGGCTGCTGGTGTACTCGACGAAGAGGTCCGCAATGTCCTTGAGATCTTGTTCGGATGTGGCAAAGTCGACGCGGAACGGGGAGGATGTTGGCATTGGTATGACGGCGTGCTGTGTGCTAGCCATTTTGCTTGAAGCCGGCAAGGAGAGGACGAGAGGGGAGAGTCAACCATGAATGAAAGCGAGTGAGTATGGGTCGAAGGATGAAGACGTTGAAAGGATTCACGGCTTCGGCAATTGTGGGAGGACCCAGAATTCGAATTACAGAAGGCTTCTAATAGGCTTATCAAGAGCCAACGCCAAGGCCGATCCTTCGCGCGACACACGGAGATGTATTCATCATTCCGGATGCGCATGTAAAGCCGCCTTTAACGTGTTTGCAAGACATGATCGGCAATTGACTTAGGAGAGGTACATGCAGTTGTATTTCTTTGTCTACGTTGTTTATAGGACCTGCCGTGTAATCTATGTGGTGTATGTCGTGTTTCCAAGTTTCGAAAATTAAAGCGACAAAAACAAACACACACAAAACAGAAAAAAAGAAAGACAGTATATAGCATACAACAAGATCGAATCACGCCGCTTCAAACAGCTCCCACATCGGCCGCGGTATTAAGATGGGCCCGGCGCCCGACCGGATGGCCTCGTCCCGTAGCGAGACATAGACAACCCGATTCGACGCGTCGATGTTCGTCGACTGTGATGTGAGGCCGTAGTAATCAGACAGCGAGTGTGCAATCCAACGTCTATATTGTTAGTGGGTGGCAGAGAGCGGATAAGGAGGGGAAAGGGGGGGGGGGACGATGGGAACATACTTGAAAGAGCCGGTTTCGCCGTCGCCAAGTGCATCGAACAAGATGCCGCTGTCGACGGTATTATTGCCCACCTCGCGGTGTACACGCTTCCACGAGGCCTGGGCCTCCTTTTCTACGACGGTGCGCCGGCCGACAAACACGAGCTCGTCATCGTCCTGATCCGAGACAGCATAGGTGTCGCTGGCGGCCGTCGGGTCCGACGGCATGTCGCTGCCGTCGTCGTCTTCGAGGGACGGCGACGCCTCGGCAGCGACCGTCTCCTCGTCGCCCTCCAGCGCCCTCCGCGCAGCCTCGGCCGCAAAGACGTACTGCCGCACGGGCTCCTCGAGCGCGCGCACCCACAGCTTGATGGTCTCGGACTTCTTCACGGCCTGCCGCAGGTCGCGCGTCACCATGCCAAATGTGGGAGACGGCGACGTCGGCTTTGGCGAGCCCGCTGCCTTGGCCTTCTTCGAAGCCTTCTTGGGGCTCTTCTTGGACGACGACCGGGGCGAGGGCGACGCAGCCGTGCCCGACTGCTGCGCAACCAGCTGCTGGCGCCGCAGCACGGCCTCCGCCGCGCGCCGCTCGTTCACCATCTCGCGCAGCCCGCGGTCCCAAAACTGGGCCAGGTGGTACGGCAGGTTGTAGTGCACCGTGTGCGTCGGGTGCACCTCCCAGTCGCTCGGCAGCGGCGGCTGTGCATTGGGGACGTGCAGCAGACGGTCGTTTTCCCACCGCCGGCGCTGCCGGCTGCCCTCTTTGCCCTTGAGGAGCGCATCACGGTGGCGCTGGCTGTCCCGCTGCGAGTGCCGCCGCTTCATGAGCGTGGCGCGGGGCGCCACAGGGGCATCCGACTCGTCGTCTGAATCGACAATGACAGGGCCGAGGACCAGCTTGCGCTGGCGCGGCTGGACAGGCTCGTCGAGCGGGATCGTGAGCGGCTCACCACCGGTGCCGCGGGCATCCGACGACATGCCAAGCGACTCGAGGATGCTGCGCGTCCATTCTTCCGTGTGCTGGAGCTTCTCCTCCAGTTCGACCGGGGGGCCTCTCTCGAATGCAGTCGCCATAGCGAACGACGGTATTATGGGGTGTTTGGTGGGTAGATAAGAGCGGCCGATGGTTTCGAGAGACCGTTCGTCGGCGAGACGGCGCGGTGTCGGTCGGACGAGGGAATGAGAATGAAAGAATCAAATAGACGTAACGATGGCCGTATCGATGCTGTTGACAAAGGTATATTCAAAGCAGAAAAGAGAACGAGAAGAACGAGAAGAACGAGCCCTAAAGAAGGTTCCTAATAGGGAGCCTCTATCACACTGCTTTCTCGAATAGATACGGGGGCCTTCGCTGTGGGAAGGCGCGGCGCGCACACCCTACGCGGGGAAGGAGCGGCATCTAGGGCCCATACTTTAATGGATTTCAGCAGTCTGGCGTCCCCTGTGCGCCCGTCCAGCCCTCCTATTGTTCCATTTCTTCCACTGACTCAGCCGGAATTAGGCACCCTATGGCGCGATACACTCCCACGTGAGTGGGGCACGCTTTGGATTGGTGGAAGCAGTGTTTGGAGAGGCTTGAGTGACAGAGTATGTAGAGTCATTCTGAGTGCAGATATCTCCGTCTTGGATTTGGACGAGATTTACTAACAGTATAAGAGAATTTCTCGATACATCTATATTTACTTAGTCTAATTTCATTTTCTGCGCTCGAAGCTTTTCTTACAGCGGTGGCATAAAGGCACGGGCGTACCCTACCCGTGCGGCTCGACGATTTAGACTCGTACCAGCTTCTGGATCTTTGGCCTGTCTCTCTCTTCAAGCTACCTGTTGGCGTATCTATTTTTAAAAAATAGCAATGCGCTGGGTGATGATGTTATCTGTCCCAGCCAGGTCCGAGTGCGCCGCTCTTGAGATGACTGGGGTCAGCATCCTGCCCAGAGCACGCGAGCAGATTTGTTAGTTGGGGGTAAACGCCAGGAAACTTTAGAATTTAGAACACGTCGTATACAGAAGAGCGCAGTCGTTTCTTTATACAGTGCACTTCTCTTCAGTGTTTCACCAGAGTTTTGTACTTTTACTCTATTATCTCTTATAGGCGGAATACAACTTCCATCCCATGTGCGTGAGAGTGCGTGTTGCACCCTTACCAGACTTCTGAGTGGACAATTGCGGGGCGTGCCTGCCACTTTATCTCCCGTCTCCGTCGCGTACTTTTTTTGGCGGGGAAGTTGCTACCGATACCGCGCTTTAACTCCGGCAGCAGCTGCGTTTTAGTGTGATTACGACTTCAACCTCACATCGTCATTCGTCCTTACCACTCGTCTGCTCCATACAACGCACAATCTCGACATTGACACACCAAGCCCACCCCGCTTGTATTCAGCGACCTGTTGATCTTCTTCCTAACCTTTTTCCGTCCCTTTCACACCCCGTATCGTGTTGTATCGTCGAGCCCTCGCCTTCCGCGGAGCCCACCGCCATCCTCTCCTCCCGCCTCCTCTCGTCTCCTCTCGTCTCTTCTCCGTCTCCTTTTTTCTCCCCTCCTCCCCTTTTCCTTCACCCTTTCTCCCTCTCCTCACGTCTCATCATGGCCTACGTCGCACCAGTGCACCGGCCAAGCAGCATCCGACATGCTCTCCGGATAAAGCTGTTCTCAGCGGAGGAGGACTGTTTAGTAATATCGTAAGTAATCCTCCAAGTGGTGTACTATATACGTGACCTGAGCTGACCGCCATTCCGCCAGGCGAGCAAACCGAATTGAGATCTGGCGGTTCACCGAACACGACGACCTGGCCCTCTTCCACTCGCAAAAGATCTACGGCACCGTGGCTATGCTGGAGGCCCTGCGGCCCAAGGACTCCGACACCGAGCTGCTTTTTGTTGGTACCGACCGCTTCGACTACTTTACCCTCGTCTGGGACGACGCCAGGCAAGGCCTCGACACCATTGACAACTTCCACGATGTCGGCGAGAAGCACCTGCGTGACTCCCAGAGCCAAGACCGCTGCATCGTCGACCCCTCGGGACGGTACATGGCCTTGCTTCTCTGGGAGGGTGTCCTGTGCGTGCTACGGCTCAAGTCCCGTCGTGACCAGGCCCGTAACATTGACTGGATGGACCAGGTGCGCCTGTCGGAGCTCTTTATTAAAGCGTGCACCTTTCTGTACAGCGAGACGGGCCACCCCAAGATTGCGTTTCTGTACCAGTCTCAGTCTGAACGGCGCGACGCCAAGCTGTCCTCCTACCGTTTGACGTCCGACGACCGCGACGCCGTCGTCTCGCGCTTTGATGCTACCCGCGAGCGCGAGATCAATCTCGACCTAGACGACATTGGCGCCGCTCTGCTGATCCCCGTCGAGACGAGTGAAAGCGAGCGCCGCCACAACGTGCGCAAGACCAGCAACAACGCACCGGCTGAGCCACACCTCGGCGGCCTGCTCGTCGTCGGTGAGACGAGTTTGGTGTATATCGACGATACGACGCAGGCGACAAAGACCGTGACCCCTCGTACACCGGCTGTCTATGTCGCCTGGGCGCGCTTTGACAGCACCCACTACTTTTTGGCTGACGACCAGGGTGTACTACGACTGCTCACGATTATCACGGATGGCCAGGTTGTCAAAAAGATTGAGGTCTCCCCCATTGGCAAGACGTCCATTGCCTCGTCGTTGGTGTATTATCCGTCTAGAAGCCTGTTGTTTGTCGGATCGCATCACGGCGACTCCCAGCTCTACCGCATCAAGTTGACCGACGACAGCACCGACGACACCATGACAGACGAGCCGGGCAAGTCGGCGACTACTGCCAACGACAAGGCCAGCGGGAAGAAGCACGAGTACTGTGAGCTGGTCCAGACCTTTTCTAATATTGGCCCTATACTCGATTTTACCATTATGGACATGGGCAACCGCGAAGACGGCAAGGCCAACGAGTATGCGTCTGGCCAAGCTCGCATTGTTACTGGGAGCGGCGTAAACAAAGGTGGCAGTCTCCGGTCGGTGCGGAGCGGCGTAGGCCTCGAAGACATTGGCATCTTGGGCGACTTTTCGAATGTACGTGCCTTGTTTCCGCTCCGCAGGCGGCCGACTGCGTCCGGTAAAATGGACACGCTGGTCGTGTCCTTGTTGACCGAGACACGTGTTTTCACCTTTGATGCCAACGGCGAAGTCGAAGAGGTGACCTTCTTCCCAGGCATTCAATTTGACGAGGAGACTCTGCTTGCCGCCCGGGCAAAGGACAATTCTTTTCTCGTTATCACTGCCAAGTCTGTCACGCTGTCAGACGGAGACAACGGCGACACCTTGGCTAGCTGGTCGCCACAAGACGGCAAAGCTATTTCCCTCGCCTCGGCCAACGATCGGTGGGCGTTGCTCTCTATCGAGGGCAAGCTTCTCGTATCGCTCCGCATCGACAAGGGCCTTACACTAGCAGCTGAGAAGGACTTTGGCGACGATCAGATTGCCGCCATCCATGCTGCACCGCAGTTTCTGGATACCGGTGTCGTTGGCACATGGATGGTGGGAACCGTTGCCGTCGTGGATCTTGCGACGCTTCAGCCCACGCAGGCAAGCGTCTCGGTGCGCCAAAAAGAGGACACAGCATCCGTGCCGCGCAGCCTAGCGTTGGCTCAGGTCATGCCGACGCACCTTTCTGGCCCGACGCTGTTTGTCGCCATGGACGACGGTACGGTGGTCACCTTTTCTGTCTCTAAAGAGGATCGCACGCTGCACTCCAAGAAGAGCGTCGTCCTCGGCACCCGCCGTGCCAACCTCTACCCCCTCCCTCAACCGGACGGCACCTACTCCATCTTCGCTACGACCGAGCACCCAAGTCTTATCTATGGCTCCGAAGGCAGAATCGTCTATGCTGCTGTCACAGCGCAGGATGCCAACGTCGTCTGCCCCTTTGACAGCGACGACTTCCCCGACGCCATCGTTGTGGCTTCCCTTACATCCATCAAAATCGCCCGCCCGGACACCCAGAAGCAGACCCATGTTCAGACCATCCAGATGCACGAGACCATCCGCCGCATCGCCTACTCTCCCGTCGAGAAAGTCTTTGCACTCGGCTGCATCGGGGCCAATGTCGTCAATGGCATTGAAGTGCCGACGTGCTCCATCAAGCTCGTCGACGAGACCATGTTCCGCACCATTGGCAGGCCTCTGCCACTCGACGGCGAGCAGGGCGAGCTGGTGGAGTCTGTCATCCGTGCCGAGATGCTCGACTCTCAGGGTCACCCTGCCGAGCGCTTCTTGGTGGGTACGAGCTACGTACCCCAAGCAGCTGTGGACGACGGGGGTAGCCAGGGCCGCGTGATTGTTGTCGGTGTCGATTCCGAGCGGAATCCCTACATTGTCTCGACGCACAGAATGCGCGGACCCTGTCGCCGTCTGGCCGTCCTCGACGGCAAGATTGTGCTGGGTCTCAGCAAGACGGTCATCATCAGCGACTACATTGAAACAAGCAATATGTCGGCCAAGCTGAAGAAGATTGCTTCGTTCCGCGCCGCGACGTTTATTTCTGATCTGGCCGTTTACGGAAACTACATCGCCGTCGGCGACATGATGAAGTCGACGACGATCGTGGAGTACATTCCGGCGACACGCGGCAGCAACGACGACGACGATGATCGAGAGAAAGATGTGGCCAGGATTGGTGGCACGTCTGCCGGCGCCGACAGCATGGACGTTGACGACAATGACGGGGAGAAAAAGGCAACGCCTGCCACCCCCGCCAAGCTCGAAGGCCGCGCGCGCTACTACCAGGCCAGCTGGGTCACCGCCGTCTGCCACATTGAAGGCGAGTCCTGGCTCGAGGCCGACGGGTTTGGCAATCTCTCGGTTCTCGAGCGCAACGCCAACGGCGTCACTGAAGAAGACCGTCGCAAACTGCGCGCCACGTCCGAAATGAACCTAGGCGACATGGTCAATCGCATGCAGCCGATTTCCGTTGAGTCCAACCCCAACGCCATGGTGCACCCCAAGGCCTTCTTGGCGACCGTGGAAGGCGCCCTGTACATGTTCGGCACGGTATCGCCCGCCGCCCAAGATCTTTTGATGCGTCTCCAGGCCAAGCTCGACGCCACCGTCACCGGCCTGGGCAAGACGTCCTTTGCGTCGTACCGCGGATTCCGCAACCAGGAGCGCGAGGCCGCCGAACCAATCCGGTTTATTGACGGCGAGATGCTGGAGCGATTCCTGGATCTGGACGACGAGACACAGAAACAGGTGGCCCAGGGTCTGGGCCCGAGCGTTGAGGATCTTCGTAGCAGCATCGAAGAGCTCAAGCGTTTGCACTGATCTAGAGACGAGGTACGGTTTTTCGGGTTCCTTGACAAATTCCTTTTTTATCCAATCATCGTTCGCCGTCAGTTAGAAAAAGGAGACGGTGCAGTAGCATGATGTACATATCTACGACAGCGAATTTATCATGATGCATTTTCGTTATTTTGTTCGTCGTTGATCTTTAGACGACAAGTGTGGCAGTGTGGCTCGTGCTGTGGCTTGTTCACCTTCGGCCTGACGGAGTACGATTACGAATTACAGCTCTGGCCTGTTGTCCTTCGGGCAGGATCGGAAATCTGTAGCAGCACATGCGACCCACCTGACGGTAGCCAATGGGAGGCCCGCAATTTGCATTTTCAATGCCTGAGGCCAGAGTTGGGCCTCTCCTTACCTGCTGTACGCCGCAATTGGAAGCCCCAGCACTAGCCGGGAAAGCGCCCGCCGCCCGCTGTTTCCCTCTGGGTGTGTGCTTGTGCCAATTGGGGGAGAGGGAAAAATAAGACTACGGAAAAAACCTCAGGACATGCTCGAAGCTCCCTTTCCTGGGTCCCCATTGAATTGAACATCGCCTTTCTCCTCGTTCCGCCGCGCACCACTCTCCCACCGGCGACCCTTTCTATCGCATTTTCTTTTTTTCGTCTTTCGCTCCCTCCACCCGACACTGTCATAATGGCCCCTCTCTCGACGGCATCGCGCGTGCTTGCGCGCTCGGCGGCCCAGTGCATCCAGCAGACAACGAAGCCCACGGCCAACACAACAGCACGGCTCGCGGCCGTCGCCTCCTCCAGCTTCAGCACGTCCGTCGCGCGCAACGATGGCTCGGCCGCCACCTTCAAGAGCCCCTTCCGCGGCACGTCCAAGTCCGAACAGGCCCCCGACTTCAGCCACTACCTCTCCAAGAAGAGCGGCAACGCCAACGCGCTGTTCGGCTACTTCATGGTCGGCACCCTCGGCGCGCTGTCCGCTGCCGGCGCCAAGTCGACTGTCCAGGGTAGGTGCAATCGAATTGGAAGATAACGATGGGAAGGAAGATGAGAGCAGGTGCGCTCGATCATTATCCAATATGATCTGGGCCTGGGTGCCGAGGTACCGGATACGAGTTGTGCAAAATGGATATGGTCCGGACACTGGAGTGGGATAATGGCCAGGTCCCGGAGTCAGGCCATGGGCCCCGTATCTGAGCGCGACAGAATGATGATGGAGAAGATTGGGAGACGAAACGACAACGGATGTGACAACTGGATACTGACATGACATCCCGTGTTGCAGAGTTCCTCGTCAACATGAGCGCCTCCGCCGACGTCCTGGCCATGGCCAAGGTTGAGGTCGACCTCACCACGATCCCCGAGGGCAAGAACGTCATCATCAAGTGGCGTGGCAAGCCCGTCTTCATCCGCCACCGTACCGAGTCCGAGATCTCCGAGGCCAACGCCGTCAACGTCCAGAGCCTGCGCGACCCCCAGGCCGACTCTGACCGTGTTCAGAAGCCTGAGTGGCTTGTTATGCTGGGTGTGTGCACGCACCTGGGTTGTGTGCCCATCGGCGAGGCCGGTGACTTTGGTGGCTGGTTCTGCCCCTGCCACGGCTCCCACTACGACATCTCTGGCCGTATACGAAAGGGCCCGGCGCCGCTGAACCTGGAGATCCCGCAATACGAGTTCCCCGAGGACGAGAAGCTCGTCATTGGTTGAGCGGTTCGATTTCCCCCCGTAAGGAAAGTGATGGGAGCGTGAACATGAACAGCATATCAAGAAGGGACGAAAACAAAAACAATAGAAAGAAAAACATACAAAACTACAACCATCCTACACAGAAATGTACGAGTACATATTGATACATTGGAAAATGGGAAGACGGTCTGGGGAGCGGATTGGTGGAGGAGATGGTCGGTGGTAGACAGTTTGTTGCGTTGCCCTTTTGGCCCGTTTGCTGCTTTGTTTTCATATTTGCTGGCGAGCTGACGAGAGGCACAGAGGACGACAGCGGAAAAGGGTTTGCACAACTATGCCTTGCCCTTGTCACCTACTTCGCTATCATTTTAAAGCACATATTTTACTTTGTTCAGTTTGTCCCTTTTGCTCAGTCTGCGTCACGGACGACTTCTGCTGTGTGTAATTACCGGTTGGCGGCAGTGACCCAGTTGAGGTAGCATGTTCCGACACCCGAAGCGCCACCAATGTTCACATGACCCATTTGTTGACGATAGTTTCCGCCGCTTCAGCTTGCCACATCGTGCCATGAATGAACAAAAACCGAATCGTGGGGTCAGGTCGAGAGACCGCGACGCGTATAAAACAAAACAAGACGGGAGCAAGATGAGAAGACGAGGGACTAGTGAGGCGATCGAGCGAGTATCAGTTGCTTTGCTCCAGGTAAACGGGCGGTTGGCAGGGCCGAGGACCATAACGATGCAATCACGATCAAGACATGCTGCACATCACAATGATGATGCTTATTTTGGAAACAGAAGAGCAGCGATCCAAGACTTGCAGGAGGCGAATGAGGGCAAAGGGGTGCGGAAACAATCAGCGCCGAAACAAGTGAAAGCGTATAGCTAGGGCAAGGGCCACATATCCAAGTTGATGACATCCGGGGAACAGAGGCCATCGCTGTCCAGACAGTGAGCGAGCATCAAAAAGGCAACCTTAGTTTTATCATGCTTAATTTTGCCCCATTTTTCTTGGGACAAGAAAAATGACCTTGAATCGTTGTGCCAGCGTGCGTTGTCGTCTCGAGTTATTGTCCGTATCTGGAGAAGTCAAGGCTTCCGTAAGCTGGGGAATGTCTCGATTTGGATTCTCTTGTTTCCAGTTTCGGAACCTTTGTCCGACTTCGTCATGTATAAATCGAGCTTTGTTGCACACAACGATATGTGTTTTGGATGGGGTGCGTGGAACATGTCGCATGGACCATGAGCGAGCCACAGCTGGCTGCCATTTGGTACGTGGCGTTTCGTGTCAAAGATCGCTCGAAGCAAGATTGCTTTAAAGAGTTGCAATGCTCCGATCATGGCATTGATTTTCTAGGCTCCAGAGCTGGGGAAGCGTGAGCTTGCAGACTGGAAAAAGCAGAATTGGTGAGAGAGACCTCGCCGGTTGTGAACGAGAGACAACGGACGAAAATCGGAATCTCGTCTTCGTTTTTCTTGGCCATCTTGACAGTCGATGGCGTTTAGGTCCACCGTCTCTTGTCGTGGTTGTGAAACACGTTTCGCACAATGGGATTTTGCTCATTTGCCATATGGACGACAGGGTCATTTTGTCTCAACTGTTTCCTGGCTGACACACACCTGAGCCCAAAACGCTCATCATCCTTTATAATCTGGGAAAAATGCGTGCCCGGTTTGAGGCATGTCTGGTCGACTCCTCATATATTGTTCTCTGTCTCTGTGATTTCTGGTTGAGATGGATATTGATGCGGCTGCATCCTTACTTTGAACGCATCTTCTCTCGCCAACGCAGAATGCTGTTTTCTGGTACGTTTTTTTACAACGGCTTGCTAGCTGCTTATCGATGTTTTGTTTCTCGTAAAGCGTGAAGAAACAAAGGTGATCTGGATAGCAAAGCTTGGCACAAGTGAGTGTCGTCAAAAAAGGCAAATAAACAAGCATTGAACGATACCACGATGCTTCAAGAGGAAATGCGGACAGGCAGCGTGATGATAATGTATCTGGGCTCCCTGTCCGATTTTAACTCTCCTTTCATCTCGCGTTGACTTGCCTCGTCTGATGTCGAAGACATTCCCAGTCAGAGATCCAAGGAGGCACAACGCCATGGCGAGGCGGATACAGGGAAAGTCACATTCACCGGGTTATGTCTTTTGTCGTCTGGGCGGACAGGGAGCAGCGAAATGTACGCATCAAAATGGAGGCATACTAAAGTCTAGTCGACAAATATGAGAGAGGAGGCTATTGGCGGCTAATCCACTGAATGCAGGCTGGGCCGAAGGAGGACGTCACCAGTTGTAGTCGAGCATAAAGTTATCGAGCTTGGCGCGCTTTGGTGGTTGTCGCCTCCCTCGTATCATCGCCATGTTAGAAATAAAGAAAAGCAAGGCGCAAGACGTCCGAGGTATTCTCCGAAGAGGGCAAGATCAGGACAAAACAATTAAGGACGAAAATGAAGGAGCACCGTATTCAGGCACGGCAAGACCGACCACGGACGCTGACGTTGCCATGGAATGCGAGAAATGCGCCTTCCCAAATGCATCGACTCGAAAAGATCGCTCCTTCCTCTCCGATGCAGCGGTTTAAGGGAGGTCAAAGGCATCGAACCCCATTGGCCATATTTCGAATCGACAGAATGTCAATTGTTTTTTCCCGCTATGTTCACCCCATTTGCCTTTCTGCCTTCTTGGCGTCCACATCCAATTGCGGGTTGGTGCGGCTTCCGCGCAGTTGAGACGTGCGACGTGCCATCGGCAGTCTGATCGGAGGGCATCCCAGACACATGCGTGGCTGACCGCCCCGTGAGCGCCAAAACAGCCGCGGCGTCGAAAACAACCGGAGGCAGACTTATTTTCTTCTCACTACAGCACCAAAAGCCTGGGGTTGAAAGAACCTTCTTTTCAAGGCACCTGCCCATGCTGTCGTATTGACGTATACTGTGCTCAAGTCAACAAATCGCGGCCGTTCCTCGCGTCAAGGGAGCTTGTCATCGTCCGAGAATTCGTTTGATGCTTTTTCATCGGACGGACAGACATCACCGAGACTGGCCACGATGAGACGTTGATGCCTCTTTCGCCGGTGGGGAAGAGGGCGACTTCGCAACGAAACTCACCTGCTATTCGAACGAGAATTGCCCAGGGCACATTACGAACAAATGTGGACTTTGCCTGTGCAATTGACGCAGGCCTGCCTTACCCGCAGAGCCTCCCATGCTTCCCATGGGAGGCCATGTCAGCCTCTTTCAAGCCCCTGCTCACGGACAGAGCCGATGCCGCTGCTGCAGGAGTGAGAGGCTTCTATGTCGTACAACCGTCTTCAACGTCTTCGAACCTATTGTAACGTCGACTCTTCTCACACCCATAACTAGCCCGGCAGACTGTTCATTGAATCTGGCTTGGGGCGTGTGTGCTCTGGTGGAGAGTAACATGGGGCGTGAGGAGACCTGGCGAGCATACCACCCAACCCACCACACAGACCAGAACGCCATGGGCTCTCGTTCGAACACGACTGCAAACTGTAAAAGGTGTCTTGTTCCGGACACCGTCCAACCCGATACAGAAAACATTCTCCTTACGCCCCTGCCCCGTCTGTACCACTCTCAGCATTCTCCCACCCTCCCATTCTCTTATTTTCCCATTTGGGCTTTGGCGATGCGTCCATCATGATCTGCAAAATGACGGAGGGCATTTAGCGAGGGGGTCCTATGATTCATGCTATTGCACACCTTTTTTGCATCGCAGACGCAAATATGAGGCGGGTAGCCGAGTGGGAAGGGGCACGGTTGGAGACAGACCGCCACAATGCCCGTGTTTGAATCCTGCGTCTGTCTCCGTCTCATCAGCTCCGGCCCCTCTCGCCTCTCTCCAATCTTGCCGACAGATCTGGTCCGCCATGATCTGGTCTTTTGGTCGCTTGTCCCCTGTTCCACCTTATCCCGTCTCAACATTCCTGCGTTTCCCCTGCCAATTTATTTTTGACAGGCTGACTGGTGTGTGTATTTTTCTTTGTTGACATGGGCTTTGCCTATTGTTGTCAGATCATCATGCCATACATATAGCTCGCTTCCTCTTCCCATCTTCGAGCCTCTCTCTATTTTGTTCTCTCTTTTTCTTCAGTCCTACTCAACAACCGCTCTCTTTTCTCACCCAGTGTGCTTTCTTTCTTTTCTACAGTTCTGTGAACTTTTTATCTTTCTTACACTCTTTTTATATAATTTGCTTTTTTAGGCCGGGCCTCTTCACTTCGTTTTTTATACACTCTCTTGTTGTTGTAACGCGTTCTTCTACCATCTTTACAAAATGAAGACTACTGGTGCCGTTCTCGCCTTCGCTGGCGCTGCCGCTGCTCGCGACATTTCTCTGTACAAGGCTGTCCTGAAGCGTGAGGTTCCCCAGGAGCACTCGCACCAGAACATCCTCGACATCGTCAACCCCATCCTGCAGCAGAACAACCCGCTGGCCATTCAGGACGCCGTCTTCGGTCTGCTCGGCAACGCTGCCGCTGCCAAGGGTGCTCCCAACGTCCAGAACCTCGACTGTCTCCAGCAGATTGTTGCCGACCAGGTTTTCACCAATGCCGTCGCCGCTGGTGACGTCAACGGCCAGGTCAACGCCATTCTCTACCGTGCCCTGGAGCGCAACACCGGCTCTGTCGGCCTGGAGTCGGTTCTCTGCAATCAGACCGCCGTCAACCCCGAGATTGCTGCCATCACCCAGCACCAAGACCCTGCCTCGGCTGCCGCCTCGGGCAACAAGCAGATTGCCGTCAACGTCGCCAAGCAGATCGCTGCCGTCGGCGGTGACCCGACCCTGGCCAACGAAGCCGGCACTTTCGCCCCTGGCAAGATTGGCGACCCGACTGCCAAGGGCAACACCTGCGATGATGCCGCCGATGCCGCTGGCTGCATCAACTCCCAGAAGCTGCTGGTCGCCGACCTGTCGGCGGCTGAGATCAAGACTGCCGTCGCCGGCGTCAAGGTCAAGTCCCGTGCCTCGGCCTCGGTCAACGTCCAGACCTTCACGGGCGCCCTGGGCGGCCCTCCCCCACCTGTGGTGAGCTCGGATGCCGATCCCAAGCGCCCCTTCTCGGTTGACGGCTCGACCTTTGTCAATCAGGGTGCCGCTCTCCAGCGCTCTTGCTCTGTCCAGCACAACGCCTGCTCCACGGCTGCCAACTCGGGCCAGATCTCGGGCGGCGTTGCCCAGTGCGAGACCCAGCAGACCGCCTGCGAGGCCGCCTCGGGTGCTGCCAAGCGCGTCAAGAAGCTCCGTCGCGCCGCTCTTGACTTTGGCTCGTGCTCCAACCCCGCCATCAAGTTCGCCGCGGGCCTCGACGGCCGCAAGGAGGAGTCGTTCGCGCCGGTCGACTCGGCTCAGTTCAGCCACGGCTCGGCCCTGAACATCAAGGTCATCTCGGGCTTCATTTGCGGCCAGCTCAGCTCCAACTGCAAGGCTGGCGCGGATGCCGTGTCGGCCTGCAACAGCGCTGCCTCGGCTGCCAACGCCGCCAGCGGCCAGGCTGCGGCGGACGCCTTCAACAGCGCCCTGGGTGTGTCTGCATAAATTTGTGGTCTCTGATTCCTTTGCTGTAGGGGCTCATCATTGTCTCTCTTTTATCATCCCACTTTATCGACTGTCCTTACTGTAGATGAGGAGGGGGGGGGGGCTCCTTGGCCGCTTACAACATAGGAAAAACGAAATATCAAATTTTGTATCCAGTACGCTCTACTTTTTTATTTTGGTGACGTTCCAGCGGGTTTATGGGCGATTGGGATTTGGTTGACGGCCTTTGTTTATTTTTTATTTTCCTCCTTTCCTATTTCTCTCTTTCCTTATGACGGACGATATGGTTAACACTGTGAGGGTTTTGAAGCCTCTTTTTTCTTTTTCTTTTTACAAGAAAGAAAATAAATAGCTCTTCTTTTACATAATAGAGAATACTTCTTTTTTTTCTTGCTATTATCCAACAGTTAACATGCTCACCCATACGCAATAGTAACATGAAATAATGGCAGGTAGCATGCATGATCGGGCGTGACCTATCCGACATGACTTTACGTCCTGCGCACGCTTGGAAATGCGGGAAGGAGGATACATGGGCGGGAAGCCAAAGGCGGACGGGAAATGGATGACGAAATAATGCATGCATGCGACCATCTATGCGCCTTCGTTTAGCCAGAGACACAGACTTGGCAGTGGAGAAACTGATTGTGAGCGTTGAATCAATATTGCAGAGAGATATTGAGTTTTCGTTTCGTTCAAAATTATGTACCACAATATGACCAAGTGGCAAGAGCATTCTTTTCTATTTTCATGATTTTGAAATGGTATTTATGGCGCAAAATTAATAATAACGAAAAAAAAGAACGCAGCAACTAAATCCGCTCAGAAACGAGGCAAAATGAGACTCAAAAATGTAAAGAAAACAAAGAACGTAGAACGTCTTGTTCTAAAAGTCGCTGATATTCCCAATAAAAAGACAATAAAAAGACAATAAGATGAAGCACAACCCGTATTCCCTTTATTCGGCAAACCCGGCGCAATGGCCGCACAGCTCCCAGTCGGCGCCGGCCGTCTGCCGCCACGACGAGTGCGCCACCATCTCCAGATCCTCAATCTCGTCCCGCTTGTTCGAGCCCTTGCCCTCGCCCGACGTCCGCCGCGACACGGTCACGCGGTAGACGGCCGCAACGGCCATGAGGTCGATCTGGACGACCTTGATGTCGTGGAACTTGTACGACAGCAAAGGCGCCATGTTGGACAAGGCCTTTTCGACGTTGTCCTTGCCGGCGACGACGTTGGCAAACTTGTCGCTACTACCCTCGTCGTCATCGGCGGGCGGGACGAGCGGGCTGGTAATGACGCAATCCTTGGCCATGTAGGCGACGGCCGTGGCGGGCTCGTCGCAGAGGGCGCGCCAGAGCTGGGTGTCCATGGCACGGCCGGCGGCGACGTTGCGCTGCAGGATGGTGGAGAGGCGGCCCTTGTTGTCAGGGCCGATGTCCTGGGTCGACATGTCCTTGAGCTTGTCGTAGCTCTCGTTTGTGAGGCCGAGGACGGTAGGCATTGTGGTGGTCGGTGGTCGTGATGGCTGTGTAGGGGATGGTGGTGGTGCGATTCACGTGTGTGTGTTTTGCGCGGTGGCTTTGGTGTAAGTCGGTCTTGGTTTGAAAATAATCTGTTCAACGTTGTGCATCGAAAGGAGAAGGTATCGACAGGTCCAGCTTGGGATCAACTCGACTAGGACGGGTCTTTGTTTATATATGCGTATTTAGCTTCATCTCGTTTGTCCTCTTCAGTGTTCCGTCATTTTCAGTCATTCGTTGCCCGTTTTTCGAGTCTATCGATCGCGTGGCAAATCATAGATCAGTACAAGTCCCACACGCACACATACACGCACACAAAAAGTGGTCGTGTGGAGAGACAGTGTGTCACGTTTGGCAGGGTTTGTTTACTAGATTGTATGTGCATAATTTGATTTGGTGATGTACATGTTGGTTCCCACCCATTAATGGTTGACAGTGTTGACGTCAGTGGCTCGCGCGGGCGACCGTCTAGCCCTCCTGGCCCGGCCTAGCCACCCGGCTGCCCTGTCGCCAACACCCCACAGGCCACGCCTTAGGCCAACCCCGAGCCCCCTTCCCAGGTCGTCATTGCACTAGGCGTCTACGAAATACAGCGGTTCCATTTTGAAACAGCAGTCTCTTTAGCCTGCACTAAGGGCCAGTGGGCCATTAAAAGAATAATATAAATAATCAACGCTAAGACGGGATCTCGTCTAAAAAACAAGATTTGTTGCTCAACCCTCCCACTGCAACCCACCCTTGCCCGGCCTCGAGGACCAGGCTGTGATATCATTTATTCTGCACGCGCCTGTCTGAAGGTAGCCCTCACCTGGGACAGCGGAACTTGGGCCACTTGGCTTTGGCTTGACCGGGTACACGACAAACAACAGTTCGCTATTGATCGTCTTTGGTCTGCTTCACCCACGTCAAGGAAATGAGAGAGGCATAGGCTGTGAGCCTGTTTGGACTGTCAAAATGTCTTTGCATCTCCATGTGGGGTAGGATTGGGCTGTGTAGACTGCATTGAACAAGATACTGCATGCAGAGAAAGGCACGGTAGACTCAACGAAGTCAACAAGGCCAAGGCACTGGCCACACATTTTAAGACGTGCAACTCGATGTACACTTTTGTGAATGGTGATGTGTTGGCGTGACGGTCGACGACAGGATGTGCATTGGCTGATGTCGACAGGTCTCATCTTTGATTCGAGGCGCCTGCATACCCCGGACGCATCCGCATACTTTTTTTATTTTTTTATTTTTTTTTTTTAAATGTTTTGCTATTATTTCTTATTGGGTATGTTTCAATGTGCATTCACTTACACCGTACTATATCCACAAGTTTGTTTATATGACTACAAGTTCATCGTTCATCGACGTGGTGAATACTGATCAGCGATATACAGTTGGGACGGACGGTACACCCTTACACTATGGTCACAGTGCTGCCCGTCGTCATAATTGTCACCTGTTCCTGCATGAAGACTTCCTGGTCCGGCGACACATCCCGCTTAAATTCCGGGTCGGCAAACGCCACTGTAATGGCGTTGGGGTCTGAGAACTCAAAGATGGCACAGCCGTCGTATTTGCTGAGGAACTCGGAGTCGACGCCGGTCGGGGCGTTTGAGCCGGTGTGGACCTTAAGGTCAGCCACGTTGTTTGATATAACCAAGGGAGCCCCCCTCCCAAAGCAAAGAAAAACAAACATACCTGTTTGTAGGTGAGGCCGTGCTTCTCGGCCCAGGGCTTGACGAGCGGTCCATGGACGTCTTCCCAGTACGTGTAAAAGTCCTCGAGGGACATGCCCTCTTTGCGCTTGATGAACGCGACCATGGTATAGGATGTGGGAGGCATTCTTGGCGGCGGCTGGGGAACAATACGAT